AAGAAGAAGAAAGAAGAAGAAGAAAGAAGAAGAAGAAAGAAGAAGAAGAAGAAGAAAGAAGAAGGAAGAAAGAAAGAAGGAAGAAAGAAAGAAGGAAGAAAGAAGAAGGAAGAAAGAAAGAAGGAAGAAAGAAGAAGGAAGAAAGAAGAAGGAAGAAAGAAGAAGGAAGAAAGAAGAAAGAAAGAAGAAAGAAAGAAGAAAGAAAGAAGAAAGAAGAAAGAAAGAAGAAGACTATAACTTAATTGGAATCTTCAACTGCTCAAAGTGGTCTCACATATGCATTCCTGAGGAAAGAAAGTCCTACTGCTCAAAGAGGGTCGCCTATGCGTTCGTAAGGAATGAATGTCCTACAACTCAATGGACGTAAAGTTTCTGACTACATTAGGAAAGTAATTTGACTGACTACATTAGGAAAGTAACTACATTAGGTTCAGATTCAATTTTGAAAACATGTTCGAAGACTCTCTTCTACAGAAGATGTGGCCAAATTACTTTCCAAAAGTGAAGACGCGAGTGATGCAATAATCGGAATTCAGGATGCCAACAGTCTAGGAGCCATTGCACCTGAATCAGACCAGGGGGATTGTCATTATTCTCCCCATGCACGGCGCTGAAGATCAGGAAGATGCTAAAAAGCCTCTTGCACCTCAAAACGAGAGGGAAGTCCACACATGGTTTTTAGCAGCGGGAGAAGAAGTCATTCTCAGGAACTGTTTCACACGGCAAGCACCAGCCACATGTCAGGCGATTCTGCTGAAGAGTCACTGCACTGATCCCTTGACCCTGACTTCGTGATGAGAACATCAGATGAGCTCACATTGCCAGTTCTATCCCAGTTTCATCAGCAAAACTATGAAAGGGTTGGTCAAGGTGCTTTGGCCAATAGTTCTCTTAGTTTTGTGAATGTTTTGTCTGAGGAAATAGCGTAGATCCTTTCCCACTGTATGGTGAGATCCAGCGCTGACCTACACATCGGATTGCTGGGGGGGTTGGGATTACCTTTTAAAGTCCCAGCAAGGCAATGTCCCAATCAGATACAGCTCTTAGTTCCTGTCTTGCCTCCATACTGGTAAGTATGAGTGTGGGTATACAAGGGGCCGAGGATAAAACTCTGAAGGGGAAGGAAAGATTGTGTACAGGTTGTGGCCTGTTTGCGAGAGTACTGCTCTGGCAATCACCTCATGTTGATTGGAGAAACCATCGGAAACTACAGATCAGAACAATTGGCTATTAGAAATTTTCCCCAATTTTGGCTGAGTTTGTCCCAGCAATCTATCTAGTCAAAAATTCACTACCGTTGCGTCTTGAACACGACTTCCCAGTCAATGTCGCTGCAATAACAGCTGAGCTAACTGAGCTGGTCCGCTCCAAGAAACAAGTACAATCCAGAGGCGAGCTGGTACCGATGAAAGGGTAGGCTCAAAGTTTCAGACCCAAGCCTGGCATAGATGTATTTGGTACATTTGCTCCAGTAGTTAGAATAGAGTCCTTAAGTTTACTTATGGCTACATCAACAAAGCTGAACTAGCTAGACTCTCATCCTGATATCACAACCGCCTTCCTGAATAACACCAATACAACAATTTTGATGAAACAGTCACACTATTTGGAAGAAGTTATTCTGATGATCAGCACGACTGAAACTGATGTGACTTTTCTTTAAAAAGCCAAGGATATGCTTTGTAACCAGAAAAAGCATTGTTGACATACATTTCTACAATAGCGGTTTCTCTTTAGGAAATTTAAATGCTGTCATAGGTATGAGACGCATTGCAATATTTTCTTTTGCAGCCAAAAACATCTGTTTCAGTGATAAAACGATTCCAACTAATGCACTTGAAATACACACTCTCTATAAGTTTTAAACTATCATGACAATTTTACACATGGCAGAAGAGGTGCAACAATGTCAAATTGGGCGAGGTTAGTAGAAATTTTGAAAGATGAAAAGAAATGTTTTGAGCACTGTACTATTACCTAACCAGGATTGTGGTACCAAATATTTATAATTATTTAGTTTCTAATAAAAAAGGTTTTCAATATACAACATAAAACATCCTTGAGACAGACTCAAGGATGTTTTATGTTAATCATGAAGGACAGAGAGAGGATCCTTAATTTTAAATTTGACATGGATAGGTTGGAACTGTGACAGATTGAGCAAAAGAAAAAAAAAGAACACATCCATTTCTGGTGGGACTTCTAGTTTCACTGATAAACTTTCGTATGTTTAAAGTTGACAATACTGCTGTGGCCCTCTTCCTGAATGTATGTAATGAAAGCCCGTTTCCTGTCCAAACTGACAGAGTTGATTGTAACATAGTTCTAGTGAATACATGTTTGGCTAAACCACATGGGTTATATGCATTTATCAATTTCCTCTATATTTTCTGTAATTTTTGTTATCATTTGGAGAAATTGTCCTTTCTGTTAAATTGGGAATAAAATAAAAAGATCACATTAACAACAATTAAGACACTGAAATATACAGTGATTGCAATGGAAATCACACAAAGCTTTAAATTAAGGTTCACTGATTTCAGCCACTATGCTACATTAAAATGGATATTATTCTTTAAATAACCATGTAATTTGTAAAGGTTTTAATATCTTCTATTTCTTATTTTGAGGATAATATCACGAAATACCTTACATATTTATCATATCTTGACTTGATAGTAGAGGGTTTGTTTCAAGAGATTAGGTCTTAGGTTTTGAAAATCATCTCTACAAAAATTAAACCCAGTATGAGATTGTAGAAAAAACAGCTTCAAATTCAAACATTAATTGTGCAATCCTTGATGTCATATGAATTGCCAAAATATCAACAATTCAACAAAATGTGATATAATTTCATTCCTTTGATCCCGGATCAAAAGATTAAGCAGATAACTCATAAAAACTAAATTTTATAGGAAACTTGTGCACTCTTTTCTTAAATACTTATGAGATCACTACTCACCAATCAGAAGATTTAAACTACTCTGATTTTTCACAAACATAGTGAAAGTTTAGAAGAATCCAATAGTATACTTAACATTTTCTCCACCAGAATAAAATTTACTGATCAAGACTATCTCATGAAACAATCCTTATCATTTTTTTGAAAATGTTCTTACTTCTCCCCCTTGCGACTGCAATTCCAAATGTGCTTTAACGTAGAGTAAATTGAGGTTGTCTGGGTATTCCTCCAGAGCCGCATCAGTCAGCTGCAGAGCTTCCACATGTTGCTTCTGAGCAGACAGTAGCAAAATTAGAAGATGAAGAGAAGGAACATGCTCAGGCCGTAAGTTGAGTGCCATCTTCACATGACACATGGCCTCTGGGATTTGTGATCCTTGTGCATACTGGAGAGCCAAATAATATTCTGAGAGGTGGTCATTAGGGTCTGACTGCTGTGCCCTGTGAAGTTCACATAATCAATAAAACAAATATTCCACGAAATAATAAATTTTAGCACTAGCTTAATTAGTGGCTATTGTACATTAAATTTTAATGAGCGACTTACTTCGAATGGAATAAAGAAAGGTAATAGGATACATATATTTCCAGTCATAGTTTAAAAGTATAGCCCAAATAATATCAAAATTAAACTTTTAAATGCGGAAAAATGACCCCTGTTGCATTCCACACAATTTGAGAAAAGTTAAGTTAAAGTTAGTATTTTTATGAACTTATGACCTTGTGTATTGATGAGATTGTGTGTTGATTTTGACAAAAACTAAATCAACATATAAAATGTCTTTATTAATCACATTACACTATGCTATGTACTGGTTAACATGCACTGTGATAGAAGAATTTTGCATTCATCAAATAGGTTAGTCCTAAAATGCTCCTTCCTGGCCATATTTTGAATCTTCAGATTCAAACTAAAAAATAATACGCTCATTATTATAATTCTATTATGAGCCAAAAGAATTACTTGCTTTTATATTTTAAACTCAATCTCTGAAAAGGTCAATCACTGAATTGAAAAAACGATAGTGAGACGTGTTTAATAAATTGGATCAATTGGAAATACTGGAAAAATCGGCACAAATTGTGACTTAATGTTAAAATTAAGTTATTATCTTTCAAGAAATGGTTCACAGCTAATTTTCTCAATTTGTTGTTATTGGAAATATTAAGAAATATTTCCGCAATCCATATCTTCCAAATCACAGATTTTTCCTTTTCCACAAATAATAGTAGAAACCCCAGAGAACCTTTGATAGTATATTCAGAACTATTCTGAATGTACAAAATACTTAGTAAAAGTATAGCTCAAAGCTCTTAAATAATCAAGCATTCTCTCCTCATCTTTGTACATATTAGGGTTATATAATCAATTTCCTTCTTGGTTCTTCATCGATCTCCTTTTTGGCTTCACTTTTATGGCCTGTCCTAATGAGCTGTATAATGGATGTTTCCATATCATCTGTTATTTAAATTCTAGAACATCGCCACAGTTTCCCTACAACAGTCTGGAATTCATCATGACATCCTTCGCTAGGTATATTGACTGTAATATCTAAATTACTCTTAAGTTTTCTCTTGCATCTTCAATACACATGTGTAATTTTTTTCTTCAGGGTTCTTCTTACAATAATATGAACTGTGAACATGCATATATTTTTTGAATATTTCTACTATAAATTTGTCCAACAAAGAACAATTATAAATTTAAAATAAAAACAACTATTAAAAATATGTTCACATTTTCTTGATAAGATCCTATATTCCACATAGTTTGCATACCTTATCATAAGTAGTTTAAACATGTTTTCAAATAAATAACATGAAACATACTTGTGAAAAGATTCCAAGGCACTAGCAATGAGTTTTTGTTTCTTATGTTTCAAGTGAGTACTTGCAGCTTGAAGGCTGAAGCCAATTCCCAAATATAGGTGACAACGAGATGCAAGGTTCTGTGAATTGTTTGTTTCTCTGGTCAGCGCTTTTTGACACCATTCAATCCCTTCTGAAAGCTGAAAAATGGAAGTTGTGTCAACATTCACATTTGCTTACCTCATTCGTCAAGATTTATTGAAATTTCAGAGCTGCACATTTAATTGTTACAATCATTCCATTCTCAGCTCCAGAGAACAATCTCAATTTTATAACTCACGGTAATGAAGTATATCCATCACCAGTTGCCTCTACAGTTCTATTTTTCCATGCAAATCATCTTTATAAGAAGGACTTTAGGAAAAAGTTTATACTCTTACTATATGAATATTCAGAGACCCTGTGCAGGGGCCCCTCTGAAATTTTTGAAAGATGCCCTTGCCTCACTAAGACATTTTTTTCCATAAATACGTTAAAACCCTGATAAAAATGACTTGTGGAACATATGGAAACATTTGAATAATTACATGATGACATATGGAAGGGTATATTAGTCTTTTCTTACATTATTACCATATCTTGGTACCCGGAGTAATCATCATGGAAATTTTTCTCTTTTTGCCTTGTCATGTTGCAGTCAGTCAGTGTCCATTATTCTTTCAGACAGGGCCTCAACGTCGTTAGAAACCAAGGTTCCCAGACGGTCATCCATTTAGGAATCCACAATGTCTCGATTTGCTTAACTTCCACGACTTCACAGAGCATAGTAAAACAATTTAACTAACAATGCTGGCAACTTTTGAAGTTACCCTTGAAAGGAGGCTAATTTCGACTTGATCCCCCATAGAAACTTCTAAAAATTGACCAAAATATCCAAAATTGGCAGAAAACGACTAAAATATGAGAGATGGCCATTAGTCATGGTACCTATTTGTTTTGTGAGCATATGAGCGTGAGTGGAAAATGTGAAATATACATGAAAGGACAATGTATGAACTAAGTGCATGCACATTCAATGACACATCAAAATTGTTTCTGATATTTATTAAGGTATTTGAAATGACAACTGGTTTCATGTTCCAAAGAATTTTAGCAATATACACCTTCACAATATTCCAAGTATTCCAATTACCTACCCATTCTAAAGATTAGATAGATGCTCGAATACTACAAGTGAGACTTCACACTCAAAGACCGTCAGTGACACACTCAAAGGTCGTCACATTTTTTGCTGATCACTGGTTGCTAAGATGTGTTTTTTTTAAATTTAATTTACAATGAGATTTTTTTTTTTTAAATTTTACATCAGATTTTTTCTTTACATCAGACGTTTTTTTAAATTTCAATCAGACGTTTTTTTAAATTTCAATCAGACGTTTTTTAATTTAAATCAGATTTTTAATTTAATTCAGATCTTTTAAAATTGTGTTAGATGTTTTTACTTTTAACCAACATCATTATGGGATTTATTTATCCTTAATTACTTTAAAAGCAGAAAAAAAGTTTATTAAAACACCAGTTTTCAAATGTTATAAAAATGTTGTAAGTTAATAAAAAAAATAAAGATACTATATATTTGAGGGGTCCAATGCAATATCGCTCTAACCCACAAAATCATTAATTTCATTTACTTACAGTTTCATGCTCCGAGTTACTTCGCTTGGGTTCACATTGCCAAATAAGTTTGTGGCACCATCTATTAGTATGATTTAGAGAAAAGGCATTCTTTGTTCACCTAAATTTTTACAATTTTTTTGTGCAATATCACCCTAATCACAAAGCACATGTTGTGGAAAACAACTGAATTCATCAAAAAACTTTCAACTATCTTAGACAATTTTTGAAATATTAAATTATACTTAATTGTTGTCCTGTTAGAAAAAAATATGGGGAATAATGGATGTTATTTCTGCACTTTCCCACCTTTTAATGCTGTGTGGAAAGTATGCTTGCCACTTAAAATGGAATTTTTACAATATACACATAAAGAAAACTGTTAATATTATTAAAATTAATAAGATTAACCATAGTTTCCATTAGTTTTAACGATATTAATTTTTTTCTTTAAATGAGTATTAATAAAATTCATTTTTTATTAATACTCATCAACATTAAAATACACTTTAAGTGGCTTCAGCAAACATTTTTATATTAATTTAAATTATCGTTACTGTTCAAGCTTTAAATGCATTTTTTTAAAAACTAGCTTAGTGTGTGTTAGGCCACTAATGCTGCTTAATTAGTTTTTATCTTCAGAAAATTAAATGCCAGATAAAAACTAATCAATTAATAAAGTCTATAGGTATATAACTACTACAAATTGTTTTAGGTTCTTCGTTTCACGGGTTTGTTCATTTTATTGTATATTATGTTATATTTTTTTTCCTCAAAATAGTTCAGTTAGCATATGAAAAAGTTTATAAGAAATATAATATATACTTAAAATCAACTTTGTAAATTTATCTGAGTAATTTTTATTTACCCAAATTTATTTTCAAATATTACAAATAATAAATATTGATTTAAAACATTGATTTTTTAAAAACAAGCATTTGATTTAAATGTGAATTAAATATTACCAGGATTACTGCCCACAAACATATCAATATTTGACTTCAAGTTCGATAAGGGGCCCTCCCTTCTTGCTTTTTGCTGTAAAAGCATATGTCAGTGACTATATTTATCTTTTTATATGTTATATCATTGCAATAGTTGAAAAATATCGAATATGAAGTTATCATTGTTGTTTTGCAGTTTTAAAATCTTCTACTGAATTAATGTGTAATTGATAGTTCTTGTAAATGCTGGTAATATTTGACCAATAATCTATATACACAAAGGTTTTTGCTTAGAAAGTTTTTTGAGCTTTCTAATCAAAAAAACTTCATGAATATTTTTAGTAGGAGGTATTAAGCCCTGGACGCATAATCTCTATACACTGGATTTTTGAGAAAATGCCTTGTATATGATATTGGGGATGCAATTCACAGGCCGAGTTGTTGCATTTGTTTACTGAGTATAATTTATCATAATTTATTTTGTGATTAATGAGACGATATATATAGAAAGTAAGTCCAAATATATTCTCTGTAAGATCAAAATGAGCTGAAATTCAATGAAGACAATATTTCATTATAATCATGAGATGTCATAGGAGATTGTAAATTTAGTTGATATGCCATATAAATGAAAAATTTATGTGGAATAGTTTGAAGCCTCACAATACGAATTTGATAATGGGGAGATCCCACTGGAGTTGCGTATAGCGAACTCCTTTCCCAAAAGATTTTGTGAACAAATAATGCAGAATGGGAGTAATATTTGGAATACAATATTTCAGTAATACTGTAGGGATACCATCAGGGCCCAGTGAACATGTAACCTTCAAATATTTAAAACCTATTTGAAATAAATATAAAATGACGATTGCTAGCCTTCAGTTGCCCACTTCCAATTTATGTAGTTGGATGCAAAAGTAAGACTAGAATTTGTATATAATTTCATGTATCATTTTATTATTATTATTAATTATTATTATTATTATATTATTATTATTATTATTATTATTATTATTATTATTGTTATTATTATTTATTATTATTTATACATATTTATGTTATTTCATTTGAATATGCATCATTTAATAAACTGTATTAAATAAGAAAACAAATAGATGAGCGGTTATTGTTGGTTGGTGTAACCCATTGTCTTAATGCTGCGCCGCATTAATTACACGATAATGACGGCTTCTTTTAGTTCACAGAAATAAAAACTAATACTTTTATTTATATATTCTTCATTCTATTTGTTTTCCAACACTATCAGCATTGTTTTATTAATTTTTAAATACTTCACTTCTTCCCATTCTGCATATTTTTTGCACCAAATGTTCTACAATTTCAAATGAGTTTTACAAAAAATAATTTGAATACAAATTTTGGTATAAATAGTATTACATAACTATTACTAATGGCGAGAAAGTCTGCGCTATTTTAGCACCACTAGTTGTATTGAGCAATAACTTTCTTGTTCTTGTGGCTTGTGGTTTTATTTTTATAGTTTTATTTCTTATTTGTGTCTTGTACTTTTACTGCTAGCAAACTGTTGCACTCTAGTTTTTATTCTTCGATACTGTGTAATTACTTGTTTTTATGTCTTTTTGGTATCCTGTGTCCTTGTATTTTGCGGTATTTTAATAAAAAAATCTACATCATTCAATATATTACATGTGGTTTTTCTGCAACATAAACACGATTAACGCTATCGTGTTTTAAAATCCACAATTTTAAAACACGATAGCGTTTTACATCTCGTCTTTGAATATACAAAATGAAATGGTGTTTTCATATACAACTCAAACTATATCTCTTATCCTCTCAGTGAACTTAAAACCTCCTATATATTCTGCACATTGTTTCTATCTTTACCCATTCATAAAAATGGCATTTAAGTATGTATAGTTTCAAAGAAGAGAATAAAGTTATCCAAAGTATATTTATACCTGATTCAGGTGCTCATAACATAACTGAGCAGCAAATAGACAGGGCATCACTTTGGTAGGTAATAATCTCGATACTTCTTTCAGAACATTCACTGCATGGCAATAATTGCCCATGGAAACAAGACATAAGGCATGCTGCATCCACACATGGGGTTCTTCAAAGGAAAACTTCATAGCTCGTTCAAATGACTGGTAAAACAGGAACACTGATATTATAAATACAGCTGGTCCATGAAAGATGGAGAAGAACATTTATAGAGTCAGTTTAACATTATCAATCCATCAGACACTTGCAAAGCTTTCATGAAAATAAGTATATTGGAAGATATTAAAAGTTTTAGGAAAAACAACAAGAACTTACTTCATGCAGTAAATCCACATGACCCCATCGAACCAAAGCAATAGTCAAAAGGTCATATATGGCCGTTGCATTATCAAATGCATGAATTCTCACTTCTTTGAATTCTGGCGACTGACTCAAAACAGCATCTCTTACGGCCATTGCTTCACTAAAATTAGGAAATAAAAGCACACAAGACAATTACAAATTCACAGTAGTTTACTACAAATTTAAAACTGAAATAAAGTAAATTAAGAACAGGAATTTGGCAAAGACCATCATCTCCATGTAGTATTAATGTGATGAGTAATCTCCCTCCTTGAGTGGAGGTGGTAATGAGACACACTCGAGGAGAGAGAAAAAAGGCTCAATAAGTTTAATGTATTTTATGTTAAGTGTGTTTTACATTTGTACTAGTGCTTAGTTACTAGCGAGCATGTTTTGGTACCTAAAATGTAATCTTCTTTGATAGGATGAGCAACATATATCCGTGGTAGTAATTATAGAAGTTACGTCCGCAGTGATTGTACGCGGAATACATGAATCTTGTATATGAGGTAGTATATCCGGTGTTTGATACTTTTTGGTGTCTTACACTGTACGTTGTGTATGGGTATGTGAAAAATCTATAATGATGACGATGTAACAGCAATAATAATAATAATAATAATAATAATAATAATAATAATAATAATAATAATAACAAAAACAACAATGGTGACAACAGAAACACATCGATAAACCCCATAATCAAGCATTTCCGGAAAACCTTAATGAGCAAATAGCACTCCATGATTCTTTGTATAGCTTAAATATAGCTTAAACACCAAGAAAGTGTCTACAAAGACATTGGCTATCCAATGTGGTAACCTCTGGAGTGACACTGAGTCCGTTTTGATTTTATCTTTTGCATTTAACTCTCTGTCAACTCTGTTGAACAAGGATGGGTCAAATCTCACACAAAAAATGCACTAAAATATGTAACGGAACACAGCTTCCGCACATACTAAATGACATCAAACAGTACTCAGGTTTAGAAAGTCTTAGGAAATTCTTCCGTATTTTGGATAATACAATTAAATAAATTATACTGAATGTACAGAATGAATGAACACACGTACTGAAGACTTTATTACTTTGAGCACACAAGGATTGGATCCTCTGACAAAGCTTGATTATTTTGCTAGACCTTTTCAAGTATCTACATTTAGAATGAAGTATATACTATGAAACAGACAGATCTTCATACTTGGATGGGGTGATGCTGTACATTTGGAGGTTCAGCTTCTTCAACATAAACTTAAAGGTTCTCATCTAAACCAGAAGCTGACTTCTGGTTTAGATGAGATCCCAGCTATTATACTAAATAAATGTGCTGGCTACTCCATTATACATGATTTGTTCCAAGTCATTAAAGCAAGGTATCTTTCCCATGGTATGGAAGAGAACTAAAAGCAACTACAGTTTTAATAAAGAAGGATCCATTCAGGATTGAAAATTACAGGCCTACTTCTATATCATAAGCTCTTGCATATCTCAGGTTATTATATATAATATTTTATTTTCAAAACTTCTACAGCTAGACCTTCTGGAAATTTACATTAATGTGATACATGATTATTGTTCCAAAAAGGAGAATGTCGTTCAGTTTACTGGTTATAAATCTAATTCTTATTATCTCACGCCGGGAGTATCTCAAGGATCTAATTTCGGCCCTTTGATTTTTTTCAATCATGGTAATCAATGCAGGGCATGATTTATCGTGTTTTTTATTAGTTTATACAGTTGGCATGAAGATTTACCAACTGATCTCTTGTTACAAGTATCATCAAGTACTGCACTAGAACATAAGATATTATTTTCGGCATGGTACTCAAAGAATAAATTGAAGATTAACACAGCCAACTGCCAAGTTATGTCATTTCAAAAATCTAATAGAATACATTATCAATATATTGTTCAATTACCACTTAAAATTATTACTGTTAAGAAGGATCTTAGTGTGGTCTTCAACACATGACTCTTTCAAATTATATGTTAAAAATGTAAACAGCTCGGCTAATAAATCACTTGGTTTTCTGGTGAAGATTTGACTACTATAAATTCAATGAAAACTCTTGACTGTAGATAGAAACAGAATTATGGGGTTCATTTCATCACTTCTTTTATTACATTCATTGGCTTCCATCACATCAAAAATGTTGAATTTGCTCTCAGCAGTGCATATTACCCTATTCCAAAACTTGTCTTGGTTCCGATGCAAAAGTGCAAAATCTAATCATTTTCTTCTATTTATCTCACTCCCCCAGAATTTCTTACCCACAAATCCACTATTGTGTTCTTCTCTTTTCAAGGAACAATGAACCTTCACGGCCAATACCGATGTTTCTCTTCTTCCAAGGTCAGCAGCTATCTCAGGGTTGCTTGTCCCAGAATTTTTCTTGATTTCTCACACAATGAATCTACAATTTTGGTGAGAAAGCATTCGAGGTTGCGCATGTCTTGATTGGTTTACGCATAGTTTATTTATTTAATAGGCAATCGCCCAATTTACAACAAGTTTATACAGTTTTGTAAATGGATAATAATTAACAACTCGGCACTCTTCTGTAGTCATCTCCTTTCCTATGTACGACATTGGCACCAACACAAACTTAAGGCATGTCAATATGGGGTGTATAATCGTCACAAAACTCACCAAGAAATTCTGTCTCATGCAGAAGAATACACCTTATTACATGCACTATCTACAAAGCAAACTACCACTATTCACTCGTAAACAATACACTGTTCTGGGGCCAACGTATTCAGTCAGATAAAACCATCCATCACAACAGACCTGATGGCATCATCTGGGATAATCTATCCAATAAGTTTGTAGACTTCACTCTGGTAGCGTAATGACATTAACAGCCTACCAAGTTAGAAAAACACAGAAAATTAGTCCAGTTGTAAAGGAGGAATGATCTCTGGGACAATACCTACAGTATTGTCAGTCACTGGCATCATGCCAAAAATCACTTACTTGTCTCCAAAGGAACTGGACATTGATCAGAACACTGGTTAATCAACACATGTTCTATGGTTAGAAAGTTAATGATTGTGAATACGTAGTAAAATTGTTAATTCAAAATTCGTATGTGAAGAAATACATTATACTTACAGTAATGTATGAGTATTATTCTAAATGTGTTGTTATAATTATTGTAATGCATTACAATGTGGTAAATGTGTTATTATGAGTTATTGTAATTACTAGAATTTTTTATTTATAAGTAAAGAGAAACCATGCTGTGATTTTTATCTGTGTAATTACTGTAAAAGAATGTTGTGAATGAAGAAGAGATAACAACAATAACCATTATCATTATTATTATCATCATCATCGTCATCATCCTGTTTCAAAAGAAGGCTCGTTATAATGATTAAGGACATAAATCTTCCTGGCTTCTTTTGCAAGTTTTAAGTAAATGCAATACACATTATCGTAAATTGCACTTAGAATGTTCATTATATGCAGAATAAATCTAATTACCTGATAAGAAGCAACAAAATTATTTCTTCATTTGCATTCCTTGGCACAAACAGATTTAAACCTGCATACTTCCTTGGTTTCCAAGGACTTCCAACACTGGACATGTGGCCTGATTGATTTTTTTTTGGACCTGTCATAGACACAATTCTGAATTAGAAGAAGTATGAATTTTGAGAACATAATTGAAATTGTTTAGTCTAGTTTCCCAGAATAAAAGCTTAAATTTGCTAAAACTAAATAAGACCAAGCACGAAGAACTGTGAAATAAACATGATACAAATTTATTTTGCTTCACAAAAGAGCTTAAAATTATTTCCATATTCTAGAAAAATGAGTATGAGTATTTTAAAAAATTGGATATATAAACCATACAACAATGTTAACAATCGATAAAATTGTCGAAATGTTATAAAAAAGGGTATTTCCCCCCCTAGGGTTTTTATCCAGTTCACAACCGGTTACTCATTACATCCCAATGGGATGCATTTTTGACCATACACTAGACATCAACACACTTGTGGGCTCCTCTGACCTGGGGTCAGCAGAATGTGACAACACATACATGCAAAACAAGGGACAAACAACCATGCTCGAGTTGGGGCTCGAACCCGTAATCTTTTGGACCGAAGTGCTGAGTTGGTACACGCTCCTAGGCATAGTTTGTTAAAATTTTGAGAAACATATTAATTAATTAATTTATTTATTTATTTAATCCAACCCAACAATTTACCATAAAATATAGGATTATAAACAAAGAAAACATAACTATGTACTGGTGTTGATATAATCTGTCTCTGCATTATTTAAGGAGCAAAGAGAATTATAAAAATGATTCAAGTCCTGAGTGATTTTGTGTTCAAAGGTATAAGGTAGTCTGTTGGATTGTATACACAAAGAAGAATTAAAAATTAAAACAATCAAATAGCACTGAAATGATTATACTTATGACTTTCAAAGGTAGTTTAGTAAAAATGTTAATTTTTGTGCTTTCAAAAGTTATTTTAGCATTCTTGTTTTCAATGTAATTTTGTTTACCAAAGTTGTAAATAGGTGTGTGCCTACAGAATACAATATTAATAGCATAATGTAATAATGTATTCGTATTGTTTTTACTTTGTAACTTAAGACTCATATAAATAAATAAATATATTACAACTTAAACAAATGTCATCTTAGCATAAATATTTTTTTTTAATTTACTAAACAGTAATACTGACCTTATCCTGTACAAGAGTTCAATACTGGAGGCAAGGGCAGATCCAGCCCATCATTTGGGTGGGGGTGAGGATCATAGATTTTTTGTTAAATAATAAACATTTTTATTATATTGTATAATACTTTTCTAGTGTATATATGATATTAAACAATATTATTAAATAATTACTTAATTTTAACATAAATAAATATTTAAATTAATTATGCCAAATAAAGAAAGGTAATGAATGAATGAAAATTCTACCATTTCCCCCATGCCCCCCCTCTCGCCCCTGGATCTGCATGGATCCGCCACTGGATGTCACATGTTACCTACTCACCAACATCAAGGCTCTTCTCTGGACTTGTGTATACTGTGCCTGTTACACCCCGCAAGAGCACTTCCGCCAGTTGACGTGTGAGAGTCAGACGTAAACTCTGAGTGGCACTTGACTCAACTGCACTCAGCATAGTCCTATTGAAAAATATCAATTAGTACTTATATCAATGCATATAGAACAAAATTCACAACAATCAGCAACAAGTTCCAGACAATCTTCCAAATCCTATTCTCACACCACACATTATCTTCTGGCAATGTTGCAAATTTTCATACAGCCCACATGTCCACACATTGTTCACATTTTAAATTTTATTCAGTATTCTTATTGATAAACAAATATTACTTTGCAATGTATTTGAAAAATAAGTACTGGCTAGGCAAAGGAAATAAACTTAACAACTGTATAAGTTTTTATTGCATTATCCACTGTCGTAAAACAAACAGGGATTATATTTCCATCCTAATTGAAATCACAAAATTTACGAATTTTTGAGGTCTAGATTAAAAGGATGGGTTGGTAATGGTTTATAAAATTATTATACGCACAGAAGCATGAAAATTTTATTTTGAATTGTGAACAAAACCAGAAATCTGTCTGTTCACTGTATGTCATCAACGCAATAAAACAATTACAAAATATATAGCAAGTAATTTCGTATTATATAATGTTTCTTCATGGTAGGGTGTCAAATATACTTTACTGCAAGGAGGATTACTTTTATAGTTTCTGTTAGCTTATAATATTTTTGGTCACTCTTACAACAACAGTTCACTTCTGACCCCTAATTCTTTTCTTAGCCTATTTTGGCAAGTCGTTTCCTGACATTTTCAACACCTGTACCATCCCTTATATATCACATGAATACACTCACCTGTATCTATTTACAGCAGATTGAAGTTTCCCACCATGAATGTGTAAAATAGGTGCTCTCTGCAATGCTGTTTCTAGAATTGGCCCAATGTGACGTTCTGGATTAGGAGGCTGAGGCGAGTAAGATCCTGCAAATTCCCAAATAAATTCATACTCGGCAAAATAAATTTTGCTACCCTCCTCCTCTCTAGCACATTACTCTAGTCAATTGGTGCTCTGTGGTCAATACACACTTTTTAAATCCTCTTTTATATTCCTTTATTAATACAATAATTCAAAATTTCTTCATTTAGAATTTCAGAATCACATCCTTTCACTGTTAATTTCTTACCTGTTCCAGTTCCTCATCTTTCAATCATATCTTTTAATTTTCACTTTTCTCCTTTAGAATTTCCTCAAAATATCTCCTGCTGTATTCATCAACTAAGAGTAGAGGATGTATTCAAGTTCGCTATTCGAGTTGCCCTTATTGGTTATAACATAATGTATTTATCTAAAATGGGTGTTGATTACTATTATGTGTGTATCTACTCTTAATTTAGTTCTTAGAGTATTATTTTACAATTTTTTTCCCTTTCATACACGTTTCATATTTTATTTAAGTTCCAATGAGATAATCTAAGTCCCCTTTCATCCAAACAAACTTGGAGCTGACATCACATTAATTGTCACCTCAAGTACATACAGTGTTTTCCCTAATTTCAATTTCACTAGTACAAATTTCCTCCTTTTCCCGCTATCAATATATCTATAATTCCTTTTCCAACTTCTGCATGTATTTCATTTTTCATTATTCAGCATGCGTGAAGAAAACATTGAATCCAATATTAATAATATCCATTCTGTTTTATTAATAATTCTGCCATCAACATTTCTTTTAGAAATACTGACCTACTCTATTTAAGTAAACAAATTATTAAATTCCTTTAGGTTTCCTTCATCAGTCATGTTACAACCAAACTTTCTTCTTTCCTGAATTTTTTTAAAATTTTTCTAATGCCATTAAAACTTTCAATTCTTTTTCAATGAGTACTTGATTTATGACTATTGCTTTCCTTTCATCTCTTCTTCACAAATAAACTATTATGCAAAATTACTACATACACTACAATTGTAACAACTTTTTCTTTGGTTTCAAATGAGAGATAAAAATTATTATTTTTTTAACTTTCTCTCTTTTCAAGATGTATTTATTACTTCTCTCTGTGTTTCACAAGTTACATCCTTAGATAGATTTCAAGTAACTTGCGTACGTCTGCCTGTCTGTCACTTACGGTTAGAACCCCTACCATCAAGCCAAACGTGGTATCATTTGACGTGTCTCAGTCTCCTGGAGGGGAACTGGTGGTCACGGATCCATCCAAATAATTCTAAGAAATTCCAAAAAACCTGTTTTTGTGTTTTGCACTGAGATCTAGTGGTGATCATGAGCCTCAGGGCAAGGTTGTGATGACAACCAAATGTGACACAAATTGGACTGCCCACCAATCCAGGCTGTGAAAAACAGGTCGCTATTGCCAGGAAGCCTCAGTTTACAGAATGCAATAATACATTGATATAATGTTCTCTTCAGAACAACTCTTCTTCAAGCGTTCGGATTTGGTTCTGCAACATCGTTTTCTGCAGGGGAAAGTGGCCATAGGCCGAAAGAACATCCGAGAAGAGGAGTTATGAGCACACATTTTTTACTTTCTTAATATTTAATTTCAATTCTTAGCTTATTTTTTTACATATTAGGCCTGAAGAAAAATGAACCAGACAAGTGATATTTAACATACGATCCTATTTTTAATACTGTTTATGGTATCGGCAACACCACATTCAAGTAGTACATAAATAAAACATTTAAACAAAGCCAAATGAAACCATAAAGGTCTTACAAGCAACAACTTTTCGTTCATTTCATTGATCTACCTAAAAGAAACTAGATGCGCTAAATAGCACATACTTTCTCGGATTATTTCTAACTTCGCAATTTTCGAACATTCAGAGTTCAACAAAAAGTAGACTTGTGGCATTGTTTAAAGCTTCTAAATTCTTGTTCTATCCGCAAAGAATAAAAAACTATTCTCTCAAAAACCATTTAAAATGCATGTGTTAAATGTTAAGCAAGAATGATGATGGTTTACCCTATGAGAAAACTTCTGGAACTTTCAAATCCACTCTGAAAGAAAACCAACATAAAGATCCCCTAAAAACACTTTGAAAAAAACTGAAAGCTCTAAATAAAGTATGGACCATTCCAAAAATATGTGACTAAATTAGTCACTTCTTCTCCCACACTCAAAAATTCAAAAATGGTCTGAAAATAGCAATATAAGTGAAAGTCATACAAAAATACAAAGTTCAATTGAAATGTGGGTCTCCTTATGTTTTAGATTGTGCATGCCTAAAGTAAGAATATCACCATTTCAGGTATTTCCCAATGGTTAGAATATAAGATCATGAACCCACTCATTATGGCCCTTATCAGCAGAAATCATTAAAAACAAACAAATTACATCTTTGTAAAATCATAGATCCTTTTTCTGCCTTTTTCAAAGAAAGCAAAACCCACCTAGAAATAAGAATTATATGTACAGCATATGCATAAAGAATCACTGAAATCAGTAGTCTGCATAGTAATTCAATAAAAAATAAGCTGTTTTCCCTCTGTACACAATAATGTTGCATACATACCTGTATTAGTATTTGCATTTTGTTGCTGAATTTTATCCTGCTCTTGTAAATACAATAAAGTCAAGTCACCAGCAATTTCAAAGCATTGTATGCGATGTTCTTCCCACTCTGCTTGCTTATACTTGGAAGATGAGGACGGTGGCACCTTTTCTAAACATAATCCTGCAAAAACCAAAGCACAAACACATATTTTGTGGATTCCAAATAATACAAATTTGAAACAGTTTCATTAACTCAGCAGTGCACGCAGGTAGTCTGAGAGACCCGGGAAACCTTTACTTTACATCTAATGTTATGATTGCAGTTTGGTCGCTCCTGACCACTGCTTCCAGGTACATTTTCCTTCAACTGATATGAGTCGCACCTCACCCGGAAAAGTGAGTATTGTTTTCGTTTCTAGCGGTGAGACATTCCAAAACGTTGCACAGACCTCAGGGACCATGCATGCACTCGTGCAACAGCTTTCGTTCAGTACTTTCCGAGACTTAAAAATATTAGTGCCAAACATCTAAAAAGTTTATTGGTTTGAAGCATTCACTAACAGTTTCTCAAGCATGCAATAAAGAAAAGTTGTCAGATATGTAAAACATACCAAATACAATGAAAATAATCTTTTCGAATTTGATGAATAAATTTAATTTTTTCAGTTTTGTTAATTTGCATATAATCCACTAAATGTTTAATAGATTATTTAAAAATATATCTCATTATTGAAAATAATATCCATAATTTTTCTGGTACACTCTGTTGATAAAAATTATAAGGGGAAATTGAATTAAGGGAACTGCAAGTGGAAGGGTCCGAGACCAGGTGTGTGCACTGACGCTATAGAAAGAGGTGTGTATGCTGCCAGGTAAATGACGCTCCGATTGTAAACATGAGATCCAGTTTACACTCTTACTTTGCAAATGCATACCACGTGCGCTCTTATACTTTGCAAATGCATACATGTGAGCTCTTACTTTGCAACTGCATACACGTGCACTCTTACTTTGCATAAATCGCATACACGTGCGCTCTTACTTTGCAAATGCACATCAACGTGCGCTCTCACTTTGCAAATGTATACAATTGCACATTGGTTACTGGGCAGCAGAACTAAAACTCCTGAAAAGTACACTTAAATCTTCAAAAATCTTTCATCAAAGGAACAGTGTAAATAGGATCTAAGGATTATTTGAGGAATTTCCTTTTGGTGATTGAAATTAGAGAGCTTCCAAAGCTTGTAAAGATCTTATGTAATACACATGTATTCATATCATTACCTTTTATTGCGTACGATTCAGCTACAATTCTTAGACTACGACTAGGCAAATGCTTCTCTGTAAGCGTATGTAGCTCAGCTTGATCATAGAAATTTAAAGATTCTTGATAATACCCCATAGCATAATGTACTTTTCCAAGTAGCAAATTAGAGTCAAGAAGCACACCAGCCTGAAATTATATATATAAAAACAAAAAGATGTAAAATAAGAAAATATCAATTTTTAAGAATAACAATAACTTCACAATATAATTGTTCTTGTGCTATACTCTATTGAACACAATGATACCAAAAGTTTGTAACTAAGAATCCTAGAATACTACCATTCATCTCGTCATTCACATTGCATGCTATTTTCAATCAGTCAAATGAACAGTTTTTCAATAAATGCCTCATTCATGAGCACTGCATTATGCATTTTTGTTTCCCATTTCATCTTGATTGGGAGTTGCCCAGAAAGTGGAGAAGAATATACTTAAAAACGTTGACATTAACGCTTGCAAAAGAGAATGGTGGGCGATCATGTCATTTTCGAATGATGAAGATGCTGTGATTTCTACACACTGAATAATTATACTCAAAATGCATATTTATTTGGACTAATTAAGTATTTTTCTTGCAAGAGAGGCTATTTAAAGGACAGAACTAATGTTTGTGAAACAAGTTCAATTGTTGTAAACCCCAAAATATGTAATGAGATATTTATATTTTTTGTCATTATTTGCAGAAAGTTCCCTTGATGTGTATAAAAAAGTATTCCAAGATTTTATTGATCCTTGGTTTCTGAGTTATTTTATGAAAGTTCTAGTAAAACCCTCGATATCTCAGAAGTAGGTCAAAGTGGTGTAGCCAAGTTGATCCACTGAGGTCTTCAGTTTCTTGTCTCTTTTTGCAAATATCTAAAAATTTTACATGTAAATATATAACATTAAATCAAAAATATATGATTTAAATGAAAAAAAAAACAACATCAAATATAAAAAAAAACAATTTTTTTAAACATGATTTTTATTAACCTTGTTGCTAGCAAAGTTACTTTTCAATTTTTTAATATAAAATCTATAATGAAAAAAAATAATCAGAATCCTCACTTGAGGGCTCCCTAAGTTTGGGTATTAGGACCTTTGTCATACCTACAAGCCAAATTTAAATAAATAATGCGTGGCTCAGGCCATTGAATCTGCTCGTTTGCCTGACCAAATTTACTTGGTAATAGTACTAGTTTAGACAAGAGACGTACCATACTGAAAATCGAACAATCTTTAATACACATTTGGTCATTTTTGTTCAAAGTTTTGCAAAACACGTAATGTGAAAGACAATAAATGTGAGTACAAGAATTGTATATTTGTTGTATATTATGACATTTACAGTAGATACAAATAGTAAATACTTATGATTATTATGGACGACTCGAACTTCTGGAAAACTTTACCTTCTTTCCTTGTTCACTTGCAGTCAACATCAAAAACTGCTTTGCTTCAGCTAACCCAGTACGAGCCTTGAAAATATTTGTTTCCACAGGTGGAAATTCCTCCAAATATAGTTCTAACTTTCCCTCTCCAATTAAAAAATTGGCTAAACATTCTGAAAATGGAATATAATACTAGAATAAAATTAATACAATGCTGTGAGAAGTAAAACTTTTATAAAATGTAACAGAGTTTAATATTAACTTTCGTCAGAAAAATAAATGTTAAAAAATTTCACTGCTTTACCTGAGTCTGGGGATGTCGACCTCTGTTTTAAATGTTCTGCTAACTCAACAACTCTTTTCCAGTTAGCTTCTTCTCGACTTTTTTCAATTTCGGTTTCAATTCTAACCCAATTTCTACTACCTTTCCCAGCCATATCCTAACACACTATCTGCCTGTCAATTCGTGCCCAAATACCCTTCCCTACCCGTCGCCACAGCTCACGCTCATCAATCCTGATCTTGGTATGACTCAGGCGACAACTAAATAGCTATTCGCGTCAACCAGGCGTCAACACTGCCTGAACTGAACAGCTGATTCACAACGGCCTTCCATTTTCCAGTAGAGCGGGAGGGGGAAGGGATATCCTGGGGATATCAACATGTCGAAAACCGAATTCATCGCATGATCGCGACTGTATCGAGCAGTGCGATACGATACGGTCATACGATATCTGATGGCACAAGCAGTCACAAATGAGAAAGTCGCGAAATACCGTGAGATATTCCATCGTGTAGACAAGGCATCGCGCGCCAAGAAATAAAAAAACACATGTAAGTAATACCTACTATTGAATATTTTGTTTTTGGATAGATGACATATTTCTCATCTGTTATTAATTCACATTGAACATGTGGAAATACGATGCATGTAAAGAAATTCCATCTCAGCTCATGTGTAATAATTGACATGTAAATATTGACACATAGGGCCTGTCACCGTCGCCTGATAGTGTCTGATACTCTATCCAGAATAGATAGATCCATTCTTTGATAGAACAGAAAATAAAAACAAATGATTCGTGAATACTGACTTATATCTCTGTAATGTACTGGAAAAGTAATGGTCCTGTTAAATTCATTTCTGTCAAAATAATAAAATGTATACTTTATGTTTCGTTAGCAATTCTATGGTATCACCAATGATCCTGCCACCTATCCTGCCACATGGAAGCACCATTTACTTTATATTCAATATTTTTGCTCTCCGAAACGAGGGATACAAGTTTCTTTACAAGACACAATTAGCAAAACACATTCAAATTCGCGCGTTCCGAGCGCGTTTGACACAAAAATACGGCGTTGCCGCTGGTGAGAGAGCAATCAGCGAGATTATTTATCAAAAATATATCTGTCAGATTTTTAACAAGAAAAACCTTGATGAAACGAAAAATAAATGTCAGACATTTTTATCTGACAGATACGTTATTTGCCGGACTAGTATTCAAAACATTCTCAGGCAACGGCCCTGGATAGGATAGTAGTCACTGTTGCCCTGAATAGGATAGTAGTTTCATTTTCGCAAGCAAAGACAAGGAGTTAAATTGTAAAAGAAAAAAATTTCTCGAACACCATATGCGACCATGGCAGGGAACTCGGACACGCCTGCAGGGAACGTGGAAGGATGTGAAACACAAGAAATCAAAGTTCTAAACTGAAACGAAGACGGATTAAACAACATTCTGAAACTGGAAGCAAATAAGACACCTATTGCATAATATATCAATAGCAACATTAACGGAAACGTTTGTAACTAAAGAAAAACCCGCAACAGTACCAGTGTATTACAACATACACCGAAATGCTGCAAAACACCAATAGGACGAATAATGTGCATACTACGTTCTTATCGTTTGAAAAGTTTGAAGAAAATAATTGGAGACAATTTTGAGAAAGTGGCGTTTGAGCATTTCTGAAGATGCGGAATTTTGAGCTAGTTTTCACAGAACGCTGTTGAGTTTTCGAGAAACGTTATATGACATTATTTAAATCCCATGTACTCGTAAATACAATAATGTGAATAAATTGTCGCTAATATAAAAATTAGCGACGTAAGAAACAAGTAAAAAATTCAATTTTGTAATTTTTCAAAAAAAGAATAAAGCAATATTGCGACTATGTCATGTTATAGAGTACATTTAGCATTATCTCTAACAAAAGTTTAAAGAAGAAAATTGAAACAGTTTTTGAGAAAATCTTGTTTTCGAAACTTTTTAAAATTGCACACATTTCTCGCAATATTGCGCGAAAACTACTAAAATTCTCACAAAATGTACATGATCTTAATGAAAGAGCTCACTATAGAAAACAAATTTTATTTGAAGGAAAAATTTCTATCTTCAATTTTGAAGTTGAGAGAAGACGTCCGAAAAAAAGTAAAATTTTTGAAAATTCGGAGTTAAACCTGAAAATCACATCTGTGCCACCTTTAAAAATGTATTTTACCTTATTGTTACCAGAAATGTAAAGAAAAATTTGGAGTCGTTTTTTAGAAAATCTTGAAAATGTGCGGTGGTCTTGATGCAAAGTACCTCCAATTATGGTTTAGGCGCTAGTGGTGTTCACAGACAGACGGACGATTTGAAAAAAAACATTTATTCGGTATCAGGGGCCCCCAAAACGTGTATTTCCATTGAAAACTCGAAATCGATTTTCAGCAGCAATACGTTACTATCCCTATACTACGTATAATACTCCGTATATACGTACGTATATGGGAAAGTAAAAAAGTTTAAAAGAATATAGACTAAAAACATAAAAAAGTAAAGAGAGTGTGTTTCAAGATAAAAAAGATTTTTTGTAAACACTTGAAGAAGCACGGGAGATTATTTTAGATAATTTCAGTAATCATTAATATTTTATTATATGAAGTAATTTACTTTAGACAATAATTTAAGAAAGTAACAATATTTGAAACAGTGTAGTATCTATCCCAACTACAAAAATATTTTGAATTTTAAGTATATATGTGACTAATCTACAAATAGACCGTTACTACCAACGACATTAATTGTGGAACTTTCTTTACAAAAATGTTTGGAACACACATCGAAACGAATAGTGTATTTACAAGAAATCGTTCAGAAAATATCAGGGCCGCGTTGTCGCGATATTTCTATTTAACTTTCCAGATTGCTTAAAAATAAATACCTCAATACATTGACAATACAAATGGGGTAAAAAAACGAGAGTGTAAAAATAGAATTAATATTGGCATATTCAATAGTAAATTATAATTAAAATTAAATAATTAAAGTTAATTATTTTTCCCATCATTCAATCAATTTTTTTCGTGGCTCGAACTTGCTGTGAAACCTGTATATATTTAATTAATTCCAAGCATAAATTACGCAAAAACTACTAGTTTTTTCCAAAAGTGGTGCATGACCTTGTTTGTACAAGAGCTTATTTTGTACAACAGACTTTGTCTAAGGTAAAAATCTTTATCTTCAACTTTGAAATGATTTAGCAATTTTAGAAAACAAAAAATCAATACTCGAAAATTAGACGAGCGTTTTTTTTCTTACCGTTTCTTATTACAAATGTCGAGAAAATTTTAAAATTAATCGGATCGATTTTTGAAAATTTGTTTTGTAAATTCCAACGCAAAATAAGCAAAAATTACTCGATTTTTCAAAAACTGTTCATGATCTATTTTGAAGAGCTAATTTTGTGCAAACATACTGAAGCTAAAAGACCTCTATCTTTGATTTTGTAGTTTTAAAATGTTTTTTGAAATTAAAAAAATAAAACGAGGGATACCCGAAAATGGTACTAGCACCACATTTGTTACCGTCTCATTACATAAGTGAAGAAAATTTAAAGAATAATGTGGAGCGGTTTTAGAGAAAACAAAACTTTATACATTTCAGTTGCAAATAACGCAAAAGCTACTCGCTTTTCAAAAAAGATATACATGATCTTTTTTTTAAAGATATAATTTTGTGCAAAAGACTTTAAGACAAAAATCTCTATCTCCAATTTTGAAGCTTTAATTTTTTCTCCAATTTTGGAAAATTTGGGGATGTCAACGTAAATAAATCTTTCACAATTCTCTTAAACGTTCTTTGCACTTTTCAACAACAAAAATTTAATCACAAAATTTGAAGCTATTTTTTGAAAATGTCCCAGGGAAGTAAGTAAGTTCAAGTAAAGTACCCCCCAAAATTAAAATATCGGGTTCAAATTCCAAGGTCCGCGACACCAGCTAGAACGATTAGGGAATATCAATTTTGAAGAATATAGGCTGAACGGTTTATGCGCTAGCGTTGTGCTCAGCGGGACAGACGTTTTGTCGTTAATCGATTTTTCGGTATCAAGGACCCACAAAACATGGGTTCTAGCTACACCACATGTTAGAGGATTTTTTTCTATATTGAGCAACTGACTTTATCCACTTTTTCCTTATGATGTCCCGGCAATAAGAGTTTGTGTGTCGAAAAATCGCCATTTCCTGGCGATTTTTCTACTTTCTCTTCTATACCAACTTTCTCTTCGTATGTTAGTAAGTGCAAGAAAGTAAAATCACTTACTGACCTGAACAGACCATAAGGGCCTGGACGTAAATCAAGCGAAAGGAATATTGTAAATTTAAATATTGATCAATAGATAGCGCCTGTCAGGCTGCTGGGCGGCGGCCGTCACAAGACGTCATTTGCCGAACGTTGTCATTCGAGGATTCGTTGTCGGCTATTTTTAAGTCAGTACGTTCCTTAACAACACTGCGTTTAGGACACAGAGGCGAGTGTCCGCAGCCAATGACAATCGTTCTACGTAACAAGCGGAAGTTTGAAAGCTAAAGATGCGTTCGATTCGAAAACAACCCTACAGACCCACAGAGATTATTTTAGACAGCGCAAGAGAAGAAATACTGATTTCAGTAGTGGGGGGCAGTGTGCCTAGCGCCTCTCTGCCGCAGCCGCCACTGCACTAAACTAAGACATGTCACTTAATGTACAAAATTACTACACAGCAAAATTAAGAGATTACCTTAGTTGACAGTATTGTACTACATATCATCGCTGGAACAAGCGGCACTTCCAATTTTTTTCTCCGCCCTTATTTTCAGCAAGTGAGGGGATTTTAAATACAGAAAGTGATTGTGTTATTAAAATTCAATATAGGGCTGTGTGTAGTATTCAAAAAACCAATTTTCTACACTGACCAGGTCATGAGGAAGCCAAAATGAATGGTACACAAAACGAATTCACAGGGAACCGCATTCCACATTGATACTTCCTGCAGTGAGCATTACTAGCATGAAGTGCTCAATGCACACTTTCTTGTTAATATCTTCCAGAGACAAGAATAAACAATCGTTTCTTGGACAAAAATGTTAAAAAATGAAGTAACAAATTCGCATGCCCCCGTAATCAGGTGGCAAGCGAGTCCGAAAAAGAAGAAGAAGAAGAATGAAAAAATCATAAGTAGGAAATTTTATTCCCTACTAATTGGAGTATTTATCATAATCATATATTAAACAGCTCTTCCTGTCACGGTCACATTACAATGCCCGCTCAGGGCGCATTACACGCGGTATGTGCATTGCAGATTGCACAACGATTGCAAATGATGTTATCCTAAGCAGAACACAAAAATTCCTCGCAGAAAGCGTAGAAGAATTGATAACAACTGCTAATAACTGTTGATTGCTCTTACAATTAACTGTATTACAAGTAAGTATGTGATTAATCTGAAAAAGAATGAACTCAAACATTCCTCAAACTTTCAAATAGGCAAAGAAAAAAATATA